CATAAGCCTTGACTCCCATGGCTCTCGGCAAGGTCCTAAGTGATTGATAATGGCTGGAGAACACTCGCGCGACTAGCAAGGTGGATAACAGTTTCCCGACCACGTCGAGAACGACGCCTGCTTGGGGAGGGGTGGGTAGAGAGCGGATGCGACGACATGGTGCATATTCAAATCGAGGCCGGCAGCAGGACTGTAAATTGCCCCGCCATGGGACTGTAAACTTGTCATTCGAATACCTTTCGCAAGTCGTTTTGGCGGGCAACCGCGCCAAAACGACCCCCAATTCAGCTAGATTCGTGAAGGTAAGTCTACAGTCCCAACCGCCGCTTTACAGTCCTATTGGTGAGCTCTGCGGCATAGACCGGGGCTTCGAATTCTCGTCTTCGAATTGAAATATTGTCTTCGAAATTCTCAGCGCTCAGCGGCTCTATCAGGACGGCGGCGTCTATTACTACGTTCTCGTTATTCTATTATGCTGCCTTGTATCACCCTTCGGAGGGTGAGGGGAACGATACCTTGAGGAACGCATTAACACTATATTTTGCACGTACACCTATGTACACGCTTGCATTCCCTCGCATGCAGAATGTAAGGATTAGATATTCGTGAAAATGACGAAAGGGGCTCAGAGATTCATGAAAGCAACTGAGCCCGGGGTCTTTCACGCGTGCGAAGTGGTGGCAAGGATGGCTATGCATCACTGATGTTACGTTGCATGGGACCGTACTGTCGTACTGTAAACTTATCGGTCGTAAGATTTACTTCTTGCCGCTCTTCTTCTTGATGTCCCAATCCCATACGGGGATAAACGAGTCGACCTAGGTCAACGCAGTCAGTACAGCTCTTGACGCTATTGGAAGGACTTACGAATCCGACGTCCGCAAAGAGATTCGGGAATATCCAGATACCAGGAGATGCGACGATGACGGTAATGATGTAGAATATTAATCGTACAATGGCGATTGCGAAGAACAGGCCGAGCAGGCCTAGCACGCCCATACTCAGGTACGACACGCCGAGCTTGAAGGTGGGTGGCCATAGTGGAAACATGACGCCTGCGAGCATGATCACGACCATGGCGACCGCGCCGACATACGTTGTCCATTGCGAGCCCTCGTAGAACCACGCGTAGTAGTCTTCGGGCTTGAACTGCTGTTCGCGGATGATCTGGAGCGTTTTCGAGGACGACGAGGACGAGCCGGAGGGCTGCCCGCGCTCGACGCGGAGGAAGAATGCGAACGGGATGATGGAGTGGAGGAGCGTTTGTGCTTCGGCCTCCGACGTGACTTTCGGGACGTTCTTGAGTTTCGCGTACGCGGGTGACATCACTGCTTTAATCGCAGATTTGCCTGGAATTCGACTTGACAATTGAGCTTTCCGAGCACGGTCGGATAATACAGCATAGCAGGCGCACCTTTGAAGTAGTCGATACGTTTCCCCCCCAAGACACCGACACGTATCTTCATGCCCGCCTTGCTGCTCCGCAAGAAGTCCACGACATTGCGAAGGTCCTTTGGCGCTTTCTTTTGCTGGTCAACGGCTGTCGCTGACATTCTGCTTGTTCCTCTTTCTGTTACATGCTCTTACTCCCCGAATACGCGGGCACTCACCTAGAGAGGATGGGGGAGGGAAAGAAGGTACTGTAACGCGTCGAGCGTGGTGCGCTGGCCGAAGACAGCGTGGCGGCTTACGTCAGTTTATCTTTACAGGATTCGGGCTCCGCGAATTTGGAGGGATCTGCAATCGCGATCGATCCACTTGTTGGGATCTCAAGAACGTCCTGCTCGCTACCGATGCCACAAAGTGCATCCTAAGACGCTGTGGCACTCCGGAAGGTCGAAAGCCGCTGAGGCACTAGCAGAGTGCACTTGATGCGCTTTCAGAACGATCTCAGTATTTACCGAGTCCTAGACAGTGCAGTCTCGTCGCTCATAGCTTTCAACAACCACTGGCGGTAGCAGCCATAGTCTCGCAGTCCTAGGGCAGAGGCGAACAAGGCTATCGGCGGGCGCCAGACTTCATAAAAGCCCAACGCTATATATTATAGCCGCATAAGCGCTCGAACAGTACGAGTAGCATGCTTCGAACGACTGACACTGGGGAATCACAGTACAGTACCCTACCCGAATGGAGGCCCTAGTAGAGGTAATATGCGTACTCAGCAGAAACGATGTAGGTCCCATGTCCTAGGTAATAAGTCACGTTCCAGGCGTCAGATAAAGATGTATTTCACAGCAGGCCACAGTACAACAAAGCAACAATCACAACATATTCACACTACATGATTTTCGGACAACATGAATAATGCAGAACAAACTATATGCAATCACAGACACTTGCAAGACTCCCATCCCAACATTAGGATAACCCTATGAACCGCCACTCCGCGCTGGGCGGCTAGCGACACGACCATCAGTAAGGATACACATCATAGCGCAGGCAACGCGAAACTTACGTGATTATTCTTGTTGCTTTTGTCTAAGAGTCCATCAGGATCGACGGTTTGCGTAGACGAAGAGAGGGAGGCGTACGTTCTTGGACACTTTCATAAACCTCGACCTTCTCCTTTCCTACTGACCAGACCCCACAATTGGAGCCTGGCATCCACGTCCACCCCTCTACCCAAGCGCGGGTATATGCCGGCATGCCATTCGGCTGTTTCGTTTCTGGGTAGACGACTTTTTCGACCGTCTGGCCATCGGAAGTCTTCTGATTTTGGCTCGACATGATTATCAGGCGGGCGATCGACAAGAAGATCCGGGGTAGTGTGGCTTGGGGATGGCGAGTGGTGTGGAGGCGGGGTGGTCGAGATGCGGAGAGGTGGAGAGGGGAAGGCACCAAGGATCCCCTGACTTTTATTATAGAACGGCCAGGGTCGAGGGCGCGCGTAGTAAATCGTCGTGTGGCAGAGAAGCCCAACAGAAGGTCAGCAAAGATCAAATACAGCCAAACCTATTCACGCTGGCGAGGGAGCAAACTGATTCCCTTTGGCCCTCACCTCTCATTGGCTCATACGCTGGCAGTTTCGATCCGAGGGTCCGATGGTAATTGGGTCGCACGATATCGCAGGATTTGTTTGCGCATATGTATCAGAGCGCGCGCGTATTCCAGAGCCACTTTAGGAACTTACCTTGTACGGGATCAACAAACAAATTAGCCGAGAAGGCCTGGGTCGCACGCAGACTCAGGGCGGCGAAGTGTGGCAAGGGGGCCACGTAAGTTCAGTCAGCGCGTTTGCTCACATTGTCCACCTTCTTGGCTTCTTCACCAAAGGGAGATACAGTTCAACAACCATCTTATGCTTGAGATTGATGAACATATGGCCTATGGGAAGTTTCGGGGCACTCGGGCCAGCCATGGGGTTCTTGGGACCCTAGCTCAATATCGGCCGCGTCATCGATAGCCTTGAAAACTTCAGCCGCCATCAACTCTCTTTCAATGCGGGTATTCGAGGACTCAAATGACCAGTGTGTGCGAGTCTGAGACTCCCAAGTCCAAGAATGTGGCACAAGACCGCTACTAGGACATAAGCTTCAGCGGACAAGTCAGACAATCTTTCACTCACACTCGCGCAGTGTACCAATCATCCTTCCGACTTGCATCTCTCAGATATACTGAGATAACCAGGACGAACAAGATGACAATACAACATTCGATTCGCTATCTCGCTAACATAATACATTAAGATCGGAGAAGCCGGCAAGGACGAAGGTTGAATCATCCGTGAGTGCCTAGATAGCTTTGGAGGGTTGGTACGACGGTATTGACGTTGTCGGCCCAGTAAGCTGATATTGTTCTTCCACTTGTCACCGGGCACCATGCCGACCCAGCGTCGTTACCAGCCACATTCAATCCATAGAAATTTTTGAACGAGCTACCGACATCATCAAACAGCAAGCTATCAGGAAAGGGCGGTCGAGGACGTGAGGACTCTGCTGTCTGGCAACGCTAAGGGTATTTCACTTACCAGTGAAGTAGGAACTATTCCATATCCTTTGGTGGAGAGTACGGAGCGCTGAGCCTGCCATTAGAGGCGAGAAAGACTTCGAAGAGATGATTGATCTACGCGATTTGAGCACGCCGCCTCCTCGGAACACCCATGGAGACCGAGGGGAACATTGGTCCCAGATCATCCAATCCAAAGTCACAGAGCGCGCCTGCACACCAGGGACGTGGATTAGTAACCGTTCTAGCAACAGAAGATGGACGGAAGTGCAGCACGCTGGCAAGCACCCTTGTACTCGGCGAACTGGAGGACTTAGTAAGTGAAACGTCATAACATACCTCTCTCATAGACGACGCTGCTCATATCGTGTTACCCGGACTCCGAGGATATATGCGAGAGAGGACCGTGGTTGGGGCGGAATGGGTGAAGGGACGGCAAAGTCAGTGAGCTGGCCGGGCACACTGGCTTTGCCGCCCCGGGATATGAAGATGATTACTATGCAATGGCTTCTCGTTCTCGGCGAATACACTACACTCATACAAAGTTTGTCTTGTTCCTGGGTATGCAACGTACGTCAGTGAGTGTTTTGGACAGAAAAAAGGATATGGGAACGTGCCTTTTTCGTGAGTGTGCATTGCAACGATGCTCGCTTTGTAGCTGACCCTGGGTATGTACGCGAGTTAGTCAAGGGCTTGAAAAGGGAGGATAAAAGGAGGAAATAGGTAGGACAGCGAGCTGGCCGGTCTCGCTGTCCTTCCTACTGAACGGTGAATATATGATGGTATACACGACGTACCTTTTTTCTTGCTTTTATCCCGCTTACCAGATCAACTGGCATCCCATCCGGCCGACGTGGAGACTAGGACCGCAGAACAGCTAAGAGGTGCTTAGATTTACCTCGAAAAAAAAGTCGGTCAGCTGGCATCCCCTCGACAGCGCAAAGAGAAGGGCGAAATGAAAAAAAAGCCTCGGAGCTCCACAGACGCTGGCCGGACGTTGGAACACTCGAGGAGGGGTGAAGATGGAGAGGTAGTATAAGTAAAGGCGTAAATATTGACTACGCACAGCTGATATATTTTCCGTAACTGATTGGCCGTATGTGGGGGTCTCTACAAAATGAGAGGCAAGGTCCATTAGTAGCAGTTCCGGTTTCAAGGAGATAGATGATGATGTCCAATGAGGGCGGGCAGACACCGGCCAGACGCTGCCCGCCACCATCGTACAGACAAAGACTGGAGTAGACTCACCAATTGCATATGCATACACGTAGGAAGTCCCTGAAAGCAAACGTTATCAGCAGTATCCGACATAGAAGATGAACGAAGGGGGGAAGGAATGCGAAGGGACATTGCAGGCGCCGGCCAGCCGCTGCAATATCCGCGCGACGAAGGAAAGGGCAGAGAAGAACATACGATATTGACTCACTGAGGTATCGCTCGACGCACGTATTGACTGACCATGACAAGAATAAATGAGCGTCGACAGTCTAGCAAAAGAGCGTTTAAGGACAAGACATTGCGATGGTAGTTGCTTGAGGAAGTATGTTACCAAAGATATCACCATCACGGCTTCCTTCCCGAAGTCCTGGTCTGTGCGGTAGATTCTGATCTGAAATCCAGGTAGATTCTGATCTGAAATCCACGAACACACGGTAAGCTCGAAGTTCGATGATGAGGTTGCCAAACGGCGATCAACTCGTTCGACAGCCTCATCACCGTGAATGCATGACCGTTATCATAGACTCACCTTCGCATCCCAATACACCCGCCTACGCGATCATCCCGTCCGCCCCGACCTTCCACCACGCACCTTCGAAGGTCCCCCCGGCAGCCTTGACGTAGTGGCCCCCGGAGCGCCTGGAATTTTTCTCCTGGAAGCTAACCTGGGAAACGGCCACAGATTCGAGGGAGGTATCGAACATGCTCGGAGAGAGGACCACGACGTCCTCGGCTTCATCCATCTCCTTCTGGACCTTCCTAATTGCTGATAGAACATGGACAAGGGGGATGTCGTCCTGGGAGTCTTCTTCCGAGTTAAAAGATGCGGAAACGCGGGTCTGGCGGTTGCGCAGTTTCCTCTGCTGCAGCTCCTTGAGCGTGCAGTGTTCCTCCGCGATGTCGTTCAGGAGGACCGAGCAGCGGAGCTTCTCCCGCTCCAAGTCGCGCAGCGCCTGGCGGATCGTGCACGAGCCCTGTGAATCGTCATCAAATGAAGCGGAAGCGTCAGTAACGTCAGGGTAAGAGTATGAAGTCTCATCCTTCTCCTCCACAGCAGCTGCCTCGTCCTCCGCAGCAACTGCCCCCTCCTCCTTCTCCTCCTCCTCAACTCGTGCATATTGGTCCCTCCCAAGCCTCCGGTCCAGCTCGTCCCGCCTCACTTCTCGCTTCTCGATAAACTGCTCAAAAGTGAGGTCGGACCAGCTGTCGCAGGTCACAGGCCCAATCTTCCCGTCAGCGCCGACGGCCACGGTGTAGTTATAGGTCTGGTAAAACATGGTAAAAGCGGTTAGGCTCGTGTGGTTGTGTGCTAGCAGGGTGCTCGCTGGGGTAGATAGCAAGTATCTGGGGCATGTCGAACGGGATGTTCGCCCTTTTATCTGTCAGCGCACATAGCGTCCGAGACAGCCTTCGCTGCTGTTTCGGGCGGGACGGGCGCGGGTGGACAGGCGTGTCGGTTCGAGCAAGGCGCGTCCTGGCGCGCAGCGGTCAGCCGCCGATCGCGTCTCGGACAATCCCGGAAGTTAACTGTAGAACTGAATAGTGCTGCTCAATTCTTATTTCGTTCGTCCGTTCGTCTGTTCGTTCGATTGAGCGCGTCCAAAAGAGTGAGGAAGCAATGATGGCCGGCGATCCGGGACCACGGTCATGTGATGTGTTCTCCGTTGGTGGCCGGCACATTTATTTCCTGAGGCTTTTTCGAGATATATGCACAAGCATGATAAGAGCCCCAATTGGGTCAATACTCAGCCTGGGCACCCGGTCCATACGTCTCAGAATTGCTATGAGGAGAATAATGTGGCATGTAATCTACGTCGACGGATTTCGTCCACATAACTAGCCACGGAAATTCTCGATGCCTTGCCGCGACCGGTGAGCACATCACATGACCGTGGTCCCGGATCGCCGGCCATCATTGCTTCCTCACTCTTTTGGACGCGCTCAATCGAACGAACAGACGAACGGACGAACGAAATAAGAATTGAGCAGCACTAATGTTACACCTTCCGGCTTGCCAAATTTTCCTCGTCGTAATGATGCCACATCGAGGAAGAATAAATGTCCTTGGATAATGCGAACTCAGCAGTGTTTTCAAGCGTGTCAGCCAGTAGCACTGTGAATCCGGATGCCGCTCTTTGATCGTATGCCGTATGAATGAAAACACACAAATCTTCGAATGGTATTTGCGGCCAAAGTATACGAGCGAGTTGACTACGTATATGTTCCACAGCACAGACGACAAATAACAGCGACGAATCTTCTGTTTTTGCGTTTTGAGGAAAGTATCTCGGAAAGAAGAAGATAGTAGAACACCAAATGAAGGAATGATGTTGAAAACAATGGAGTTACAGGCGACGGCCCAAGTTTTCAAAGCAACTCGAACAAGTTACTTGTACTTCGAACTGGTCAAGAAGCATGAGAGAGCCTCAGGCGGTCAACCTGGTCGTCTTGACGTGGCGAACCTTCAAGGCAGTAGTTCCCGACGGACCAGGGAAGCCAGAACTACCCTGGATCTGCAAAGGAACACATAAGCAAGAACAATAAGAGACAGAGGAGCGCCTGTCGCACCTGCAAGTCCATGATGCTGGAAGCAGGTTAGTCAAGTGCCCTTATCCTTGGCCATAGATCACTCACAGGTCCAAGGCCTTCCAGAGGCCTTTGGCCGTGTGAGTAGCCTGGAGTCTGTTATCCAGGTAGCAATCGACGTTGAGATCTCAGTTGTTCCCGGAGATCGTCCTCAACACCAGCGGTATGGAACTTCACTCCGCGATGTCGATCTCCGGAGGCCAGCCACTCGCAGCGTTAGCGGGCCAGGTACCCTTGGCAGTCGGCGCGATGAACTCAGCCTCGGCCTCGTACCCGACCGCGCTCGACTCGTCGACTTTGACCTGCTCCTTGGCCCAGATCGTGCCCGAGTGTACTTGATCCTCGACTTGGGGCGCTCGCGGGGTTCGCGGTTAGAGTGAGCACACCTCCGGAGGCCTGAACGTGGCCCGGGACCATGCGAGCAGCTAGAAGTACATCGCATCAGCGGCAACTGACTGCATCGGGTTAGGTAGGAGAAATTCACCTCCGTTGTGGGTGTCGCCCCAGGGATACTTGTAGTTCCAGTACTGCTTGGGATTATTGTTGTTGTCGTAGGGTGAGGGCGGGATGGTGACGGCGTCCGCGCTGACTGGGAAAGCGAGGAAAGTGCTTGCGAAGGCCGCAAGACCCAGGCTGGCAGCGACGGTCGAGAGCTGCATCTTGGACATGGTCGAGTGGTCGAGTGGTGCTGCAGAGGGCTTTAGAGAGCAGTCGACTGTGTCCCGGGTGAACTGGAGGACTACTGCCAAATCGTTGCCCATTTACGATGGAAAATGATCTCTTGAGGCGCGGTCCGGTCAAAGCTTATACAACCTATGAGCATGCCTTCCATTTCACGCGACACGCAGAGGGAAGTGGGGTCAGATAGCTATCGCTAGTACTCTGTATGGGGGGGGAGGGGGGCACCAGTACACGACCTACGATACCTACGGGAGCGGAGGGGCAGCGGGGCCGGTGGTCGGGGAAGAGGAAAGTCGAGCAGGCCGAGTGATCCGCGCGATCACGAGCTCGAAGCCAGCGATGACCGGCATGCACTGGAATCACAACAAACCTGAGCCTGAGAAGGAACAACACAATTGCATAGGTGAGTGATTCCTGCATCGCAGTGCGGATCCGACGATCGTCAATTAAGCAGCAAGGACCAGACACTTAGCCGACAGGCACATGGTGTCTACAGCATCAAGGAGAAGTTGTGAACAAACTTGTCGGCCCCGAGGAGTTCCATTGGCAGGAGGCCATTGAGGAATTGCGAGCCAGAAAATCCCCAGTCCGGCTTCCATTGGTCAGTGTCCAGCAGCCTGCGATTATGGATTCTGTCGCAAAGTCGTAGTCTACGCGCGCAATCCTGCTACGAAGAAAAGACTTTATTCACACAGGATATTGGAAGACAGCAGAATACACGAAGCGTACTTACCGGCATATCACAATCCCCTTCCCCCACCGTATACATACGGCTGAGTATTACTTAACGTATGATAGAGACAGACGCGATGAAACGGACGTTGACAATCATTATTCCGTACTTCCCAGATGTACCATGAGAACCAAGCCGGAAACAACATTGCTTGGCGGTCACACACGCACAACCAACTCGCCTGGGGGGCGGACCGATAGCAAAGCAGTACCATCTGCCTTAATCACCCCTTCCATTACCTTCACCTCCGGTCCGTACGAAGGCTCGAACGCCATAGGTCATGGTGCCGTCCGACGTAAGGCTGAAGCGGGCCCCTTGCACAAGGAGGTCAGCGAGACGACGCAACAACAGTCGTAACCAGCGCGGAATCTTCCCGAGGGGTTATGCGCGTACCTGCCGATGCCGCACTCGTCGCGCACCTACACCTTCCTTCGAGACGTAGAATCAGTCCAACACCACCAGATGGCGCCCCTCGGCAAAAGTGACGGCAAAAGTAAAGCAGCCCCGCTCGCTGGAACGGGAACACTTGATGAATTGGTCAGGAGGGCTGCGGTACGCTCGTTACGAACCCATCGAAAGAGTACCTGCAGAGTTGCCGGCAACGGAAGCCCCCAACTGCTTGAATCACAGCCTTGATTGGGTCCATGGCATGGAAATCTGCACACGAACTCCATTGTGTTTAGCGGACTATGTTGGACCTCATGCGGGAAGGTACATCCTGGCAATAACGCAAGTCAGGCGAACACACCGGCGGTGGGAACCAAGCTCTAATGATATTAGCATAGCATGTAACCGCGTATAATGCCTATTGCTCTCTACTGCAGCTCCGTGAACTTGGGCTTCACTCCAGGATAGAGCTGGTCCCGGATGACCCACGGCCCGTCATACCACATCTTCTTCTCGAACACTATGAACTCCACCGTCCGACTCGGCTGGGGCTCCTGGTTGAGCGCGATGGCGCCTTCGCGCGTGAGCAGCTTGCCGTCCCTGTTGTAGACCTCTATCGTCTACCACAACAAAGCTTGTCACTCACACTGGACACAACGGAGTATAGGAAAGCGGAACACTCCGCCCACATACCTGCTCCATATCGAACATCACGCAGATTTGCACAAGGAGCCTGTTCCCGATCTTGGGCTCTTCGGCGCCGAGGTAGCCCTCGATGGCGCGGATACTGACCACGATGGGCGGCTGGTTATCCTTGACGTAGTGTTGCTTAAGGTGCATCTTCTGATCGCGGGCTTGCTTTATGTACTTCAGCATGTCGTCCTGGTAGGACCCTGTCGTCAGGCGTTTCATGGTCCTCTCGTCCAGGCTATGCGCAACCCACAGGTCCATGAGGCAGAGGAACCGACAGAGGGGTGGGCACGTACTTGGCAAGGGCTTGGAGCACCTGCTTGTAATTCTTCAAGGCCATCGCGCGGAAGGGCGCTAGCCAGTCGTTGGGCTTTATCCTCGCTGGCAGAAGCACGTTCAGCGAATACCGCCGCTTAACGTCGACGTCCGGGAAGGCATTGGCCTTGGCCATCCGCCACATGCTGCAGAATGCGGTGTTAACCACCTGCCCCAGAGAGATGGACGGAACTGCAGACTTACCTGATGACGTTCCGGACATAGTTCTGAAATGTCAATTTCCACTCGTCGACATGATCCCTGAGCGTCGCACCCTCCTTGAACGAGCGTGAGAGGGGTATGTGAAGGTCTACGGACGGTACGATCAGTCAGGGACTGCGATAGTGCAATGAGCGACCGCACACGCGTCACAGGCTCTGCTGTAACACACCTAACGTCTGCACGGCACCAGACCACGGGTCAATTGTGGGGTTATGCCGCTCGATAGCGGCGAGCTCCTTCAACTGCTCCAACTGCTTTTCGAGCTGCTCTGCGCGCGCTTGTTTCGCCTCTTTTATCTCCGTAGCTGCAAGGGCTTCGTGGCGTCTATTTAGGGCATTGCTCTTGATCTTGCCTGTAAGCTTGGGTCTTAAGGAGAAGGCGGCAGGCTTGGGTGCCGCTGGAGCGGGGGCTTTTCGGGCGGGGGTAGTGTCACCAGCGAAGGAGACTTTGAAGGGGGCAGACGTAGGAGTTTTGGCGGTGTTCAAGACCGGCTTAGTCTGCGACATAGGCGGGTTCGCCTTCTTCGCGGTAGGTCGCTGCACGACATTCGCGCTAGCGGATGCATAAGATCGCATGCAGTTGGAAGCTGCCCCATAGTACACCCCGAGGAATTGTTTTCTGCGGTTGAAGCTCTGCTGCGACCGCAGCAAGACCGTATCAATGCATTTTCTAGTCCCAAGTCCGTTCATGGATGCTACCAAAAGCTGAGACTCAGGCTACCCGAGCGCAGATCGTGCAGCAAGACCGGACCTGGTGGCAAATCCCAAGCAAATCCGAGGGAAATTGGCGGATCAATTTCCTGCTATTTGTCCTTGTTTCTCCGCCACTCCCGTTGTGCACTACTGGAAGGCTGAAGCTGAAGCTGAACTCTATCCTCAATCGCCTCCACCAAATATCAGTATTCCCCTTCACTTGTGAGAGTCATTCTAATGTTTTAAGCTCCGGAAGAAAAGGAGAGTTGCTCATCCCAAATATTCCACGTGTTCCTAGTAAAAAGCCTGTATTTGCATATGTTTACCGCCGGAGGCATTGCGTGTATTCGGCAAATCACGGCAGAGGGATATTCAGAGGTTTTAAGTGAACCACTCACTGCTCTCGTCTGACATACACGTCCTCGAAAGCACAACATGCCGGTATGTTCTCTTTTACTTTCTGAATGTTTTTGTACAGTTACTTATGAGGTGCAGCGTCAATCTCGTTCTCGCCCCGCGCCCGCCCCTGCGCGTTCTGCACCCGCCCAAACCCGGAGTGCATCCACCGCGACCATGCCCGCTCCCCACTCCAACCCGGCGCATGCGCCCCCTGTGCCCCCACAGGCGCACGCGGCTGGGCAGACGCAGCAGCCCGGCATGCTCGCCCAGATGGCCGCCACCGCTGGCTCCGTCGCAGTCGGCTCGACGATCGGGCACGGTATCTCGAACATGCTCTTCGGCGGCAGCTCTGCGCGGGCCCCCGAGGAGGCCACGCCCCAGCAGCTGAATCAGCAGGCAAACGCTGCACCGCTTGCGAACCAGCAGCAGGCGATGGGCATCAGCTGTGAGGCCCAGGCGAAGGGTGAGTAATTCATGGCTCTATTTAGTACGCACGTTCCTGGGGCTGACAACGCGCTCTCAGAGTTCACCAAGTGCTTGGAGAAGGCCGACCTGCCGTCGTGTACGTGGTACCTTGAGCAGCTGAAGGCTGTGAGTATTTCCCTCTCACTTGTCCGTATCCTGCTCATCCGCTTTCCACTCTAGTGCCAGGCTGCTGCCGCACCATACTAGACTAGAGGATGGTCGGGCTTCTAGTATAGCTATGGCACATATATAACTTACACTAATATATGGGTTTACGAGTACGCCTCTCAACGTTGCGTAGGTCTATCAAGGAAACCGATGTCTTACGAACTCTTCCTATTGACGTCCTACAGTGCGGTTGTAAAAGTCGACAACCAGGCGTCTTGTCTATATTAATGATGCGTAACGTACATGCCTATATTAGAGTCCGTATTGCGTCAAGAAAGCCGTATGAAAGACGAGAAGATGGATGCATGCGTAGATGGACATGTGAGGTATTATAAAGCGCAGAAAGGGATATAGGCAATAAGTTATAGTCTGAGGACCACTAGCCGCCCTCCCAGGGCGCAGAAGATGCTGCGATCTCATGGCTTCCGAGACAATTCTTCCCGGACAGCCTGAGCCACGGCTGACGCATCAAGAGCTATCTCTTGTCTTTGCGTCTGGTCAGGCAGTCGTGTTGATGACGGTAACGAATCGCCGGAGAATTTCCTAAAAGGAATAGGTCAGAACGACTGTGGACACTTATAAACCTCTTCGGATCATACCTGCCATACCACCAAGCCATGTATTGAACTCCCATGCTCTTCGCGGGTAATTCTCTATCGCGGACGAACGTATCCGGCGGGAAGAATTCCATGACCATAGAGCGTGGCCATGGCTGTATGAAGACGGCATCCGCGAGATGGTCGCCGTAAACACTGAGAATCATCTAGAGCAGACGTCAGTCAATCACCGCACTGTACAATCAGATGGCTCATACCGATGATCGTAAAATGGCGCTCATCCTGTCCTTCCATTCCGTCTCGCGCGAAACCACATGGACCTCGTACCCATAATGCTTCTCCAATCCTCGGAGCGCATCCACCAGCAGCTGGTGGTCCTGCGGACGCAGCCTCGCCCCCTGCTCCTCGTTCTGCCTCGTAATATACGTAATCACCGGCTTCGTTTTCGCAGTCTTCCTCCCCTTGCCCGCACCCTCTTCGTCCAAGTCCACGCTCAGGAACCCCGCAAGCGTCTTCCGGATGGGCGCCCACCAGTACGGGGACGCCTCCATCCGCGTGAACGCGTTCGCCCAGAAGGGCAGCCCGCTCTCCAATCCTGAGCGCTGCGCCGCAGCCCGATCGAGCAGGACGACGCGCTCCAGGAGGAAAGGTACTTCAGTCTTCTTGAGGTCCTCCCAGTCTTCGGCGTACCACACCCCAGCGGTGGGGAAGGCGGCCTTGACGAGGAAGGGGTGAATGCCGTTGCGAGAGCGTACGCGGGGTATTTCTGGGTCGCCGGCCTCTGGGCGTTTCTGGTGGTCGGAGTATGTCTGGATGTTCGGGTAGATCAGGCGGAGGGGTGGCGGGAGGGTGCTAGAACCTGTCGAAGTGATGTCTTGATCTTGATCGAGGGTCGAATATGCTCGCCATAGCGAGATAAGGGTGTAATTATCTTGAACTGGTAGGAGGTTAGTACATACATATATGCCCCAAGGCGGATACTCACGAGTTGATGGGTCCGTGGATATAAACGAAACCCCACTGATTCTGCGAAGGAGATCCTCGTCAGACGAGCTGGTGATGTAAGTGGGAACCACCTACTTCTGGGCATGGTCGCCAAATCTTGCAGCCGCATCGTCAGGTCTTATGACCTGCCACTCTGCGTGACTGGGAGGTTCTGAAGGGTTTGTCGAGGACGAGGCAATGCTGCTAAGTGGTGCTGACAGGTCGTTGGGGCTAACGATAAACATTGTCCCGTTGGCATAAACAGCGTTATCCAGTATTGTGAACCCTGGCAAAGCGACAAATTAACATATATTTCAGTCCTGAGATGGGATGTCAGGGGTAAGCACGTACCTGGAACATGGCTTACTATTCGGCTCATAGGCACGTCGCTCCCCCAGTGCGTCCTTCCTTCGTCGACATTAATCGGCCCCAGCAACTGTACCTCTCCGAGGCCTCTTTGCGCTCCGAGCATACTCGCCGCTTTCCTCCAAGTAATATCCGAGTCCCTTAGATCACTAAAGTTATACCCGTACCTCTCCCAGCTCCCTTCCTTGTCCTCGCCCCACGTGTGCAAAACCTCTCCCTCATCCCACTCCCAGTCCCCCACAACCTCCCTCTCCAGCCGGTCCCGCCACGCTCTCGGTTTCCGCCCGTCCCTCTCCAGCCCCGGATCCCCGCCCACACCAATTTTCTTCGAGAATGTTGCTCGCGTCGGGGCATCCAGACCCACGGTAGACAACGAGACTTCAAGATTGTACCCAAGGATAAATGCAGTGAGACAGAAGAGGAGAAGCGAGACTTCGCGGCGAGTCGGGGGTGCTGTCCATCCCATTTCGGCTCAGTTCAAGAGGACGTCCTCTAAGTCGAGTCCTGCCAGATGTTGGTGTCGTTGTAGGTGGTGAGGTACTAAACAAAGAGAGCGAGGTTAAAATGAGTGAAACGGCATGGACAAGCTGCCCTGTCCGAGTGTATTAGGATTCGGGAATGGCCATCGCTATAATTGAGTTGTTCCGCTAAATAGGCCTGGCGGGTGGCAGACGCCGGTCTGAGCAATTTGACATACACCTCGCAAGCGACATCAAGCACGATGTTGTAGACATCCACCAAGGCGGATAGTATTACAATGCTAGTGACGAATTACAAGTACAAGAGTACAGAATGCAGAGAAATATAATCGTAAATAAATCGAGACAGAAAAACGTTTACACCTCCTGGCTGACACCCTCACCCTTCTTTCCCTTACTATAAATGACGTGAGCAGGTGGACCAAGAATAACTAGAAAGAATAGCTAAAACAGACCTTGACTTGCTCGGAAGAAGCTCGGGCTGGATGAAGGGTACGACACCACCCTGACTGATGACGACGTTGCCCAGAAGTTTGTGCAGCCTGTCGCAATCACGCTCGTAAGATACCGAACGACCAACGACTGGTTGAAACGTACTCTTCATCATTACGGATGGCAAGCTGGAGGTGACGAGGCACGATACGCTGCTTCTTGTTATCTCTCGCAGCATTACCGGCCAACTCCAAAATCTCAGCAGCCAGGTACTCGAGGACAGCAGCCAAGTACACTAGACGCGACGTAAAACGAGTCAGTCAGTTCACTACGTCATCTCGACGAGGACGCGAATGGCACTCACCTGGGGCGCCGGCACCGACGCGCTGCGCGTAGTTGCCCTTCTTCAAGAGACGGTGGACACGACCGACGGGGAACTGGAGCCCCGCCTTCGCGGAACGCGACTGCGTCTTGGTTTCGCCGCCCGCCTTCCCACCTGCAGCAGCTTTTCCGGCCTTTCCTGCTCAACAGTGAACAATCGTCCACCACAAAACGCGTCAGTCAAGTCAAATGATGTACCTTTTCCGCTCTACACAGCACCAACAGCATGAGTACAACACGCTATATGAGTAAGAGACAAGCTCACGTACCATTTCGACTGGTATTTACAGGGCAGAGGCTTGCGACGGTGGTGGTTGATGAAGAAGAAGTTGACGCCAGCGCCGGTCAACAAACGCGCCTTTATATATGGCCACGTGATCTGCTTATCCCATACGCGACTGAGAATTTCCTTTTCCGTATGTTTTCTGCCTTGCGTCGAGCCTCCCAGTTCTCGCCCGTTAGGCCATTGAAGCGAGCACCCTTCGCGACTAGCAGGTGCTATGCGACCGCTGGCGAGGATGAAAACAGTGAAAAGGATGAGCGATATCAGTTACCGATGTTACAGCGGCCTTTGGGAGTCAAGGAAAGACCTTCGACTTTCGTGAAGACGTGGGGCGAAAAGCAGATGGAATTGATAGACCCGGAGAAACGACGTGCGCAGAGAGACCATTTGTTAGTGCTCTTTTGCTGCTCTTGATATGTACGCATGCCTGAACTTTTCTAGAATCAAGGAAGTAGGCAAGGGCTATTTCGCTGACCTGAATCGCACCCGGAAATTCGGTGGCAAAACATGGATTGCGCCTCCAACTGCAATTCGGGAGGACGTGAGCCTGCATCATCTTCCTTACGACTGCTATTTCTTAACAATGCACGGACCAGAAAGCCCTGTACTTTCCTGACATAGCCGGCACACCGTTGGACAAGAACACGAAAGTACACACGACGGATCTCCTTCGAGGGAAGATCTCTGTCGTGGGCATCCTCACAACCCAAATATCCGACGTACGTTTTGTCTCAAATGCCCTCTGCCCTTCTGCTGAGATTTGTCTCATTTCCCAGGAACATATCCGGTACTTTGTCCAAAGCACCAACGCAGCCTTCCTCAACCCGCAATACCCCCGCTACCAGCACGTCCTCATCAACCTGCAAGAAAACGTGCTCAAATCGATGCTCGTCTCTATTTTCCTCTCCTCGATAAGACGAAGCGTCCCGCCGGAGATGCACTCCAGGTACCTCGCGTCGAGCCAGAACATGGAGTTCGTGCGCGAGGACATGGGGATGGTGAACAAGCACATCGGGTACGTGTATCTCGTGGATGAGAACCTGAAGATCCGGTGGGCGGGGTGCGGGGATGCCAAGGCGGAGGAGAGTGAGGCGTTGTTGCGGTGCACGAAGGTGCTCCTGGAGAGGCTGCAGCAGAAGGTCCCTGAGAAGGGGGAAAAGAACGTTAAAGGGGCCGTCAAGTAATCGTAATCTAGTAAGTGCCATTGTACAGTGCGGCTTCGTCAACGCTGATCGATCCTCGAGATAGACGCTGCTCATCCGTGTTTGCATCATATTTATTACAATGGATTCTTTACCTGCTCAACCTACAACGATACGGTGCCCTCGAAGTTTCGAGTACCTCGTGAGTACATCCTATGTCTACGACTTCGCTTTCTCCTTTGCGACAGCATCTGCCATGTCTCCCAACGTCTTAAAGTCGAATACATGGCGAGCCTTTGCATCCTGGCCCATAGTTGCACCAGGCCTCTCGATCCAACAGCTCGCGATACCCAAGGCGTTGGCTGGGACATGGTCGTGCGCCAGACTGTTTGCCACGACCAGCACGCCGTCCTTGTCGATCCCGAACTTCTCCTTGATCTCCTTCAGCGCATACTCGAAATTCGCCAGGGACGGCTTGTACGACCCGACGTCCTGCGCGGTGATCACCAAGTCGAAAGTGAAATGCCCGGGGCCCTCCAGCGCCGCCCTCGTGTGCGCAAACGACGTCCGGTCGACGTTGGAGAGGACCACGAGCTTGTACGTCTCGGAGAGCATGGACAGGGCGGGAATGGTGTCAGGGAATATCGGCCAGTCTTTGATCGACTGGCCGAACGCGATGTGCTCCGCGTCTTCGTCTGCGCTGCCGTCCCCTGACCGTGAGCCGGACGCAGACGTAGACGGGTCGGACTCGGTCGTCACCGCCGGCGCCGCGGAGCCTCCGCCCTTCAGCCTGCTCTCGAACTCGGCGTGCCCCTTGGCGAGGAGGTCGGCGTAAAGCATGCCGGGGTTCTGGGCTTGCAGGTCTCTCTCTACGGAATAGAACGCGGTTAGCGCTTCCTTCTTTGACCACGGCTTGTTCGCGCGTTCGAGCAGCGGCTTGAGTCGGTCGTATATCCCTGTCTCCCAATCCTGTGCCGCATCGAAAATATGTTATCGCAAGGAATCTACGGGTAAGCACCGTTCCACGCACCACGAGCGTCCCGTAGACGTCGAACAGCAACGCCTTGAATTGTGTCAACTTGGGCTCGGCCATATCTGCTTTCAATATGAGTACCAGTCATTGTTCTGCACAGCCGATGTCACCTTTGCGGCTGTGAACGGGCGTTCGCAGTATGTTAGAAAGCAATCAGATACGAACTAATTGCAAGTGCATACACTTAAGTATGAAGCCAGACGCCTTCCTCGTCCCCGTCAGGACGCGTGACGTCATCCGCGACCGCTGCGTTGCCGGTGGCAAAATACGGGCAACGCACTGAAACCCGAGGATGGGTGCACGTGGCGTAGCGAAGTCAGAATGTAAAGTCTTCGCTTTGTCAGCTTCATTTCCCGCGGATATCCGACGCGTCTAATTTTAGCTTACCTTTGACTTCGAAGTTGCACGTTCTGGCATTAGGTCCGAATAAAAGCCTTTTAACACCAGAGATATACGATTACTTTGAGCAGGTACACGAAACTCGACATTCTCTGCATGCACTCACGATTCAGCCATGAAATTTGCACGGTACGTGGTCTGGATGGACTTGACCGTCTGATCCGAATGAAACCTCCTCGCCCAGATATCTTGAAGAAACGCAGGTGAGCGCGCATTTCTGCACGGTCACACGACCAGGAATGAGATACTATATCCCTAGACACCCGAATGGAAGAGGGCGTACATGTGCGTGGCCATATTCTGCCCGTATACTAAGTGAACCGACCCTTTATTCGCAAAGCGACTACCGCGGCTTGAAGAAACGCATCACCGCAATCCGTAAAGCTCAAGAAGGCACTGTATCTCCTGTCGAAGAAGTTGAGGAATCGGGAGCTCTCCCCGGACGGTCCAATGCCGCAGATCACGCCGACCAGCCTTTCGCTAGCACCTCGACCTCCACCACACCCGTCCCGTTCCCCGGAAGCGGCCGAAACATCGTGAGTTCAACTGGCAATATCAGGGGGTAGATATGCTTTGAACGTACGAAATAGGCTTCGCGTTCTCCCCGAACGGTCTCGCAGAGTTCGCGTGAGACCGGGTCCTCTGACGCGAGTCGAACCCCCAAGCGGCCCGCGCGCCCCACGCACCAGCAGTCTCAGTCGCGCATTTTTACGCGGCGCATGAGCTCTGTCGGACCCCGTATGTGCCCCTTCACGTCCCCACCTTGACGCTACTAACCCAATTGCAGGCCGCCCGACGCTCCCCAACATCCCTCTGAAGGACCTGCTCCCGATGCTCTCGCCCGTAGAGCTACAGTTCTTCGAGATGCTGGACGCGGAGCTCGAGAAGATCGAGAGCTTCTACCTCGACCGGGAGAAGGAGGCCAAGGCGCGGAGCGCGGCCCTCAAGGAGCAGCTGCAGGAGCTCAAGGACCACCGCAAGCTGTTCTACGAGGCACACCCCGTGCAAGGACCCGCTTCCGCTTTATATAATAATGCGCAGAGACTGAGGCAGGCGGTGAACCAAACCATACCCGAGTTGAGCTTGAAGTGGTCCGTGACGAGGACGAGGAGTGGGGAGGGCAAGGAGAAGGAGAAGGACAGGGAGGATAAGAGCGCGGGGGAGGGGAGCGATAGCGAGAAGACGCTGGAGCCGCAGCCGGAGGAGGAGCCCAGAAAGAGTCATAGCAATGGTAATGGGCATGGGGAGATGAGGCACCTTGATGCTGTCAGAAGGAATCCGGAGGAGTACCAGCATGCGAAGAAGAAGTTAAAGAGGGCGGTGCAGGAGCATTACCGGTAATGACTGCCTAAAATGCTCTCTTCGCTGCTTGGTGACTGAGCAGTGTGGCTTTCCGTAGTGGACTGGAAGTGCTGAACAACTACCGAGTAAGTGCGGCTGCTATGCCCTCATCCCGTACAACTGATGAATGGTCCTCTCTCCTAGATCCTCAACCTCACCGGCTTCAGGAAAGCCCTCAAGAAATTCGAAAAGATCACCCGGGTATGCATCTACCCATCCACCCAGGTTCTTTGCTCATACACACCTCACTTAGATTCCTGCCCAACAAGCGTACATGGAAGAAAAGGTAAGCAGCCACTTTGGGCCCCCCTCACCGTAGCTAACACGTACCTACCGAAGGTGGAGCCTAGCGCATTCGCCTCGAGCGGTAAAACCGTCGATGCCATGATGCGCGAAATGGAGGAACTTTTTGCAGCACGATTCGGTACGTCAACGACGCCTCTCGTCAACGACACAAATCTTGAACATAAATAGAGAGGGGTGACAAGAAAAAGGCGCTCGAGCGCCTGCGCACGGGCTCCCGGCAGAAAAGCCACCACTTCAGCACATTCCGCTCCGGCGTGGCCATCGGGCTCGCGATTCACGCGCTCATCTCGGGATTGTACCTAAGTAAGCACACATGCACTTTCGTACTAGTTAATACTACCATATGGGAAGTTTCACTAATTTCGGGGCAGGTTTCCAAAGGGAAGTGAGGGAGGATATTGTGGGCTGGGACGCACTGCTGTTCGTGTATGGCATATTCTTGATTCCGGTGGTGTTCGCGCTGTTGGTGGGCTTGAACCTGCTAGTGTGGTCGAGGGCACGGGTGAATTACGTGTTTATCTTCGGTGCGCGCCCATGCCCGTTGCCTTATGATCCTGTGGTCTCATATGGTTTTTATTTTCAGAGCTGGAAATTCGATCACGACTGGACTACCGCGAATACTTCGAGGTATGATAGACACTTCCTTCTCACCTCAGCCCCCGCCGATATTCAGCTCACGCCAGGTCCCGGCGATATTATTCTGCACGCTTTGCTACGCGTTCTGGCTCTCCTTCTCTCGGATCGGGTCAGGGAACCTGTCGCCCACTGTATACCCAGCCATATGGCTGCTCTTTGCAACCCTGACCCTGTTTGACCCGCTCCCTTTTCTATTCAAGAAGTCGCGGTGGTGGCTCATTAGGAACGTCAGTCGGTTGCTGACGTCTGGGACGCATCGAGTAGAGGTACGTGTCGTCCTGCGGGATATGTGCTTGCATTCGGCTGCCATTATCTAACGAGTTTCCAAGTTCACGGATTTCTGGCTTGGGTACGTTTCAACGCTGTTGCGTAAGAGGCCTTTAATCCAGTCTTCGTGCAGCGATCAATTCTGTAGTCTCGTATGGACGCTTTCCAACCTGTATTTCGTCGTTTGCGTCTACGCCAAGGGATACGACGATGCTTGGGGACGCTGTGCCTCTCCTCGCAATTGGGCCATGCCATTCGTTCTCGCTTCGCTACCCTTGTTTGTCCGTCTAGTACAGAGCGTCAAGCGTTGGTACGACTCTCGGCTCATCACCCATCTTATCAACGTAAGTCTGTCCAATATGTCTCCGGTTTCCGGGCTGATGTTGGTTCATAAGGGTGGCAAATACGGCTTTGGAATAGTGATGTATGGGATGTACTATAATTGGCGATACCATGGCAAGTCTGCTCGCTCTCGCAGGCGTGCGCGTTTCGACTAATGAGCCGGACATCCATCGAAAGGGAGTGCTCGCTCTGGGGCAAGCTTCGCGCTTTATTGTCTCGCGGCTACGATATACTCGTCCTATGCTTCAGCCTGGGTACCTTTGTTTGCCCTATGATACAGGGATGTACCACTGACGTGCTGAGGCCCAGGACTTTCTCATGGACTGGTCTGTGTTGCGCTTGCCGCCTAGAACTAGATACCCCTTACTCCGGGAGGAACTTCTGTACTCGAATCATATACCAGTACGTGATGAAAACCATCCAGAGAACGGCAACGCTGAACGTTTCCAAGATGTACTACATTGCAATTGTGCGTGTAGGACCCGTTGTGCCCTTGTAACGACACTCACTCTTTGCCCAGATCACGAACGTCATGATTAGATTTATCTGGATCTTATACCTCCCGGCTCGAGGGCCTAATTTCGTGGTGCGAACATTCATCGGAGCCACGCTGGAAATGTTGAGACGTTGGCAATGGAATTTCTGTGCGTTGTCTGCTGTCAAGGCAAGCATAGAGTATGATACTGACCCAATGCTTCGGTAGATCGTCTGGAGAACGAACACCTCGGTAACATGGATCAGTATCGCGTTACGAGGGAAGTGCCTCTGCCTTATTCCTTTGATGACGAACCCGCGCAAGACGAAGGCGACGAGGGCGAGGATGGAGACGAGGACGCCATTCCCGCTCGATCCTGGCGTAATTGGAAGGGTCGTACTAGCACGTCGATACGATCTCAGGGCACTCAAAGTTAGTGTAGCGGGGTTATCACTTTTTTGATACTACGTAGCGTATTGGCATTCATAATATAGATGGAGGAGGTCCGCATGACTCTGCGCCTCCCAAGCTGATTATGCATCAAGGTAGCAGGGGGATTTGACGAAGCACTACTTCATAGAAGTTGCTATCTGCTCCAGCTCCCTTGCTATAAGTGAGTTAGGACACGTCCTCCGAAGTTGGCTGAGGTTCCGAAGTTAACATCAGGATCGACCGGTTTAAGTATTGCACTTACTCCAGCTTCGCCTTATCACCTCTGTCTTTGCACTCCTTCCCGGCCATTCTCCATTCCCCACATTGAACATAAAGGTCCACACGCTTGCTCGCATCACAACGAGCGACGTATCCGGCCGCTTCCTTCTGATGACCCTTCTCGACGAGATGGCGAACGAAAGCCTCGTACCCGATAGGGCTACGCTTGGACTTCGCAAACGCATCTAGGCCTTCGAAGTCACGCATAGCAGTTAATGCGTATAGCTTGATGTACCAGAAGCTGAGACGAAGTCTATGAATGACTTTGTCTATACAGTTCGCGTTGATGCATACCGTTTGTCAGGGACCTTGAAGTCCGACTTGATCTTATCTGCTTTCTTCGACATACCGTTCAGAAGGCATGTCCTTATCGTTTCGTTCACGCTAAGACCGAAGAAGGGGATTTTGCCATCGGCGTCCTTCTCCAACTGCTGTTGCGCCGTTAGCAAACGAACGCTCTCATCCATCATCTATTATAATATCAAACAGGTTAGCACATACGGTGCAAGTACCATGAGAAATAAGACGGCCGACCTTGGCCTCAAAGCCACGCTCCTTATCCTCAGAGAAGAACTTTTGAGCTGCTTTCACCGTATTAATTTTTGCTGTAGGATCCTACACTGCACTTAGAGGAGACCCCGAATCCTGCAGTAACAATGTCCACTCACAGTCATATTCGATGCCTCCTCCAATAAAAGGACTGCGCTCTCCACTCGTCGGTCATCAGAGTAATAGAAATCTCTGAGCATGTCCCGGTTCTGCTCTCGTGCATACACTTGCAGCAATCGCGTCGCAGGCGCTAGCTGCTCTCCACCATCTTCTAAAAGACGGAAGAAGGAGCCAAGTGACATGCTCTTCTGCAAATGCAGTAAAACATGATAGACTAGGAAGATGTCAGAGCACGTCGAGCAACGATGATGATGCCATATCCTTACCAAGATCTGGGTCCCCGCTGTCCACAGCCTTCGCAAGGGCAAGCCGATCCTCTTTCATGCTGAGGAGCAACGGGACCTGGTCCGAGGCCCGCGGCTCGTAATCCAGCAGCTGATGGATACGAGCCTTAGCAGCAGTTCATGCCACATACATGTGGAGCTCCTTCTTACCTTCGTGGCGAGACTCGTCCGCCCTACCTCCCACGCCTTCTTTGCAATATCCGCATAACTCACCCCGCCGCCTCCGAGCTTCTCGAACTTGTCCACGATCATCCTGCACACCTCGCTGTCCCCGGTGAGCTCCGCGTTCTTGCCGGAGCCTGTCGCGGACGGCTTCGACCGCAGGATCTTCGCGCACGCCCAGTGTTTGAGCACGGGGTCGGGTTTCAGCGAGAGGTACGTGGATATGCGGAGAGCGAGGAGGTGTAGATTGCGCGCTGTGAGGCGGGAGACGAGTTGGGCCGGGGATGCGTGGATGTATCTAGTACCCTAGGTTGGGACTTTGACAATTAGCACAGGAGATAGGACAGACGCACTGTGTATACGTGATGGGTATGCCAATTTGATAGTCCCGAACGGCGTTGAGGACCTTGAGTGACTGGCCCATGTTAATAAAGTCGGTCGGGTCATACAGGTCCAAGAAACTGCGCCCGAATTTCGCGGCCTGCCATACTCTACTTAATCCGATCGACCCTCCAGAAGGTCAGTTAGCGACTCACATTGAGGAGTCGGCGCTGCCAATACGGCTCCCACTCCTGTCCCGCTGCATCGATACACTCATCCACCGCACGCCCTAGTTCCGGGCGTATGCTCCGGATGCTCTCGTCTGCCTTCGGCGAGCGCTTTGCAAAGTTCTCCCATGCGTCGTACAAGATGGCCGAAGGCGATGTAGACCCCGGCCGAAACACAGAAACAGTCGATGCTGGCGCAGGTTTAGGCTGTGTGGCTCAGAGACGTTGCGGGTGCGTACCTGGTACCTTCTGTATAAAGTCACAGACGTCCGGACCGACGACGCGGACCCCGTCGACTTCAGTCACGGCGAATGTCGGTCCGGAGTAGAAGAACCTGCGGATGACGATAAGCCCTGAACATGAGCTGTGCTACTTAGACGACATACTGTAAGGTATCACCAAAAGGCCCGACCATCAGAGCCAGGTTGTCCCACGTAACAAGGATAGCATCGTTTCCGCACCACTCCACCTGGCGTACCGACCCCTCCGCGCCGGGGACATTCGTCGTGTCGAACTCGGCGAGGTTCCGCTGGAAATCGGCCGAGACGACGAGCAGCAGCCCTGCGAAGGTGAGCAGCGCGAGCGACTTGCCGTTCGGAGAAGAGGCCATGTGGGTGAACGGCCCACGAGATATGCGCTGGTCGGTGTTCTCGAGGTTGTCGACGGTGTAGATCGTGGATTCGACGGACAAGAGGACTTCGACATGCCGCGAGATGGTGAGCTCGGGGGGGATGATGGTCCATGAGCTCGGCGGCTGGGATAGGCCTGAAAGGGTTGGGAAGAAGACGATAGATAGTGGTAACTGGCTCACCAGGATTTGCTAGAGTCACAGGCTTTCCTCCCGACCAGCCTCTGACCTCGAGGAATGTCAAAGAGTTCGTGAGAGCAACGAGACCATTGTCATGTATCTTCGCATCCTCCACCCCTATTTCCGCGACCTCTGACCCCAGCGAATACTGTTCGTACTCGCCTTGTAAGTCGTAGATCCGATAGACGCCCTCTTCATTTAGTACGACCAGCCTCTCGTCTCCCGTCCACCCAAAGCGCACGATCCTGGCTTGTTCCCACTGATAGTCATGTAAGCATACGATGAAAGGCGGCAAGAGACGCGTCACACACACACTGAAGATCAGCAAGCCTTCTCCCGCGGGCGAGAACACCTGAATCTGCGCCTTTGCGAATACAGGCGTGGCACGACCCAGCGCGACCAACTTGTCATTATCCCTCATCAAGGCTGAGCATGCGGATAATTAACGACGTGTATTAACACTGAAGACGAGAGGTATAACCTAGAGGACCACCATAGCGGCATGCGGCTACCTTGTAATCGTCCAAGTTAGGTAGCTTTCCGGGAATAGAGTAGATCTGCTGTCGCCTGTAAAAGACATTGGCGTCTTGCATCGCCTGCCATGACGCCGTTGGATGATCTGGCATGGCAAACAGTGTTCATGCAGACCTCCAGCACAGACCGTGTCGTTTGTGGCAACAGAAGCCGCGCGTATTAGCCTGTTGCACCGCCACAAGCCACAATATTGTGGCTCTGAACGCCCGTGCGACTTACTTGATCGGGCAGCGAACCATACGCGCCGGATGTATGTGAGATTGAAAGGAATGAATAGAGACGAAGACCTGATCCAAAAGAACCTTGGACTCGAAATCTTAACTATGATGCGAACCACAAGTGCAGTATATTGACAGCAATTCCACAGCCACGTAACAGTATAAAAGAGGGTTAATGCAAATGAGTGTAGAGCATCGAGAGATCGTGACGCGTCATTAACATGCAGAGGATGCGAGGGATTACTGTAAGAGTCCAATGAAAATGATGCAGCCCTAGCCCATGGGCTGTCGAGAAGGTAATATGAACAGCGAGGAACGACTCCGGGTTCTCCGAGAGGAGGACAAAAGCTAGTACAGTCTAATCGGAACCCGCGCGCGCAGGTCATCCTGTCCAAATAGTACAGAGACTTCCAAGTAATACTACAAAACAAAGAAATCATTCAGCAAAAGCAGACCAAATACTGTTTCTTCAACTCACTTTTACCGTTAACCCAGACCAGTCTATGCCAGGGATCATACCTTTATACAGGTGTATCTTGCCCTTGTACAACCCATCCGGCAGTTTTTCGTAGACCTCCAACTTCGGGTGGCCCCGCCCGTTGTCCTGCTTCACCCTTGGCCTCTTCGGGAACCCGACGCACACCTCCGTCTGCAGCGTGCGGCTCTCAGAGAAGACCGTCGCAGGAGTGTGCGGCGGCGGCGCACGCGGAAGGGGCTTGTCTTTGAACTCGTTGATGGACGAGCGCGACAAGGTGCGCGTTAGGGAACGTGAGCGCGAGCGTACGCGGGGCCGGATGTTGATATCCAGCGCGCGGCTGTTGCGCATGACGGGCACCACAGGGGGGGTGTTGTTCCTGACCATACGTTTCAGGAGTCTGCTCGACGTGCTGGCGGGGGATTGGGCGTCAGACTCTTCCGTGGTCGGAGGCGATGGCGGAGGGGTTGGCAGGCCGAAGGGGGATGCATTGATGTGGACGTTGCGGAGGAGGGAGACTGTGATGGTGGCGTCTGACGCGATTTCTCGAGCGAGGGTTGATGACCGAGGGGTGGTAGTGAAGACTACAAAGAATGGGAGGGACGCGGTGCGGGGGAAGACGGCGGGACTTGGAAGGGTTATCTACTGTATGTCAGCTTTACAAGAGAGAGATAATGTTTGCACTACCTACCGCGCACTGGAAAGGTATAGATCGCTCGGACTTCAATGGAATTTCTACCCAGGACTCAGGTTCATACGCTAGACCATCTAGCGAAGAGAATTCCGTGTCTGGGTGCACGATGATAGGTGCTTCCAAGCTTATCATGGTCGTCAACCACTGTGACGAGGCGTCAGATACAAATGACTCACAGACTTCGATCCTCCGAATGATCCATAGCTTCCCACAGCGCGACCACTCGATACGAAACCTCCGCATTCTCAGCCTGTGCCCGACTCCGCACACCACCTTCCATGAGCACTGAGGAAGAGAAGGTGGGGGGCAATTCCTCTCCGGGCCTCGTTGGGGAGGGAAGTTCAAAGTTAAATGGGATCACCTTCATGTCAGAACCACCAACAGTGGGAAGACTGGGTCTCCGCCGTACTGTCGCAACGAACGCGTCGCGAATGTTCAGAGCCGACCGAGGACTGTCCAGAGCGCCTGATAATGGTACCACTCGTGATGAGGAATAAAAAACATGGCGTTGTCGTCCCTTCGAAGATGGCTCGTATGCGCCAACATCGGGTGAAATATACGTGAAGGCACCCTCAAGCTTCGCGAATGGCAATCAGGCGTCAGCATCAATACTGGCACGATCTGTCATGCTTGACAGAGAAGATTAGAGAACGCACTGTGATCGTGAGCCGTCCGGTCTGTGCGAAGCTCTGTGCAAGCGCCACCGTCCCCGTTACTCTGTCCGAGTCCCCAAATACTGGCAGCGATCGTGCCTGCTGTTGATGTGGTACTCGTTCGCTCTTTACGGACAGACTGCGTATACTAATCTCTATCTGCAGCGACCTGAACCGCTATCAGCCTCCCTCTGCAGGCTAGAAGAGCGCGTAAAAGGGACTATACCGGAAAGTAGACGTGTGGGGATAGCTAGGGCCCTCAGCTAAAGCGGACGCGCTCGGAAAGCTCGAGGGTGGCGGCGCTGGCTCCCCAGCGTCGAGGCGGAGGCGGGGTCTAGGGGTCATATTTTCAAAGGAAGGACGTTTCTTTGGGCAGGAAGGAATTGAAGTAAGGACTAATACAAGGAGTAGAAGGATGAAGTCCCAAGGTGCTAGGTTCGACCTCGCCGGGTGAGGAAAGGATATTGCCTCGCTCGCCGGGGACTTATATGAGATAGCCTACGCGACAACAAAAGGAACATCATTTCTAGCAAATCCCTCATTCGTGCGGAAGGAAGAAGAAGCACCCTGGCGCACTAACCTGGTTCGCATAACGATAACCGACCTGAACGAGCGCCTTCCTCGGTAACGGCGTAAATCGCCGTTTGCCGGACATTCCTGTTATTTCCCAAGGATCAGACGTTCGCAAGACTTTCGTAAGCGTTTCATATAGGATAGGAGCCTACGCCTCTATATGTAAATGTCCTCTCGCGATAAATTATGCACGAGATGGCAAATACACAATCTGTTGGGTTACGAACACGACCTACTCTGTTAATTTAGACAGGTCAAGCAAGGTCAACCTCGGGAGACAATCCCCAAGGCGACCCGTAAGAGTGACGACCCGTAAGAGTGACGACACCACGGACGGCGTAGGTACCGGGTCTTGATCGGGTCTATGAGCCTTCAAGCTTCAAGTTCAGCAGACCTCCGTGCCTTGCTGGGCGACTGGGCGTAAACCAATCACACCCGGGCGGGACTGACGCTCGGTTCGCAGTGCGTCGGGTCTAGAGCGAGCTCAAGTAGGAGCTCAGGTACACCCCGACCCACTCCTTCTGTTCCAGATATCATTTCTGATTGGAGGATATCAGAAAGCACTGGTACCGACGGTCCTCGAAGGCTACTTCAATTCGAAGTAGTACATGGTATGCGCCGAGTAAGGGCCTGCTAGAGACCTGTCATGACATAGACATTCAGCCTCGACGAGCTTCACCGGGAATGTGCATCTGCGTGAAGAGTCTGCGGTCCAATGCAGAGAAATTACGGAGAGGGTGGGCACCCACGTCTGAGATTTTGGAGGCGCCATCAGTCATGCGCGCAGATACATAGATCGTGTACGGGAGGCACCATGTTTGCGCTGATATCAGAGGGAGACCCATCAAACAGAGTTCGTACCCGGAACCTATCAGGGTCCTTGAAGAGAGCCCGGAATGCATAGTCTTGGTCCAATACAGATCAGAGCCTGCTTGACAGCTATCCTCACACCTGGGAACACTTTGGCCAGTCACATGAAGCTCTTTCATAATCACACAGAGCGATGCAAAAACAAGGAGAAACTGAATGTCCCACAGTCCAGGCAACGACAACGCATTTGTCCCTTTTTTACCCTCAGTAACTTCCAGCACCGTTGACCTATGGGTGCAAAGTCAATACATGGATCCCTGAAGACAACAACGTGAGGGGTTCACCTTGTCCTTCAATTGCGAGATGAACTGCTGGTAGCTTGGTAGTACATCAGCGCGATCCTGGATGAGGCAGCTCAAAGCCCATAATCTGAGTGGCGGCTCGCCATCTTCCTTCACCACGTATAATTGTTGATAATAAGGACCGCGCCGCATCTCCCGAGTCTTCTCGATAATAGCATTGACCCGTTGCGAGAAGGGATTGTCAAGGATGGGCAAGGTAGTCTGAACAGAAACGGGACCCATCAGCATCGACGCTGAAGGGTGCACGTTACAAAGAGACGATCATACCTTCCCTCCCCGAAGCGTCTCGTAGTTCGGTAGGTTGAAGACATCGATAATCAATTGCGGGACAGCGTCTCTCCCGACCCAGAGGAAGATAGTCTGCCCATCTTCAATCAAGAATAAACCATGCCGCTCTAGTCTCTCTGAAGTCAACGGAAGGGGCGGAGGCATAATAATGCCTTGCTCCCCAATAGTCCCGCACTACACATTCGATCAGTCTCTGTTACAACGGCAGATCCCTAGGTAACACCTCACCTCTGGCGGCATATTATGTAATGAATAGAAGTTAGGATATATGTAAGGTATCAACCGCTGCGATGGCAAAGTCGTGAGAAGAGCCTGAGCGTATGCCCGCAGATCCGGCGGGATCTGGGCGCTCTGACGGATGCCAACCTACAGATACGAAAGTGAGGTTAATCTGGCACGTCGCTATGCCCACCGAGGAGACAAAGACGTACGTTCTTCAGAAGGCCAAGAACGAGCACAGGAAGCATCTTCAAATTGTCACAGATAGCCAATTGCGCGCTCGCTCCCGCGCCTGCGGCGGTCATGCTGCTCTTGTACGAAGACAGGATCTCCACCATCTTCGAGAAGAGAGCCTCCCGAGCGTCTTCAAGTTTATGCGTCAAGGACCTCTCGACAGCCTTGTTGGCGAGGAGGGTCGCAAGCGCCACTTGGTCGGCGGATGCAAACACCTCAGAGAGGTTGTTTGTCGTGGGAAGGGCCGACGTGATAACGCGAATCCGACGTTCCCCTCGATGGTTAATTAAATTAGATTCGACGGTCATACCCGGCTACCTTGTACTCACCAAAGCATGTTGTATGCAAAACCGCGGTCTGGAATACGACGAATGGCGCGGTGATAGTATCTTCGATCTGTACCTCCACGGCGTACGACTGGTCTTGAGGAACAACCGGCATAGCCAGAAGGTCAGTGGACCTGACGAAGAAGTTTCCGTGGAAGGATGACATCCGTAACCCTGGTATTACCATCTCAATTTAGCTCGGGCTTTGCAATTGCTGGCATAAGCTCACCTTTCGAGGCGCGCACCCGCATGATGGTCTCCAGCATGATAGGCATAGCCAGCACCTCGCCAAACTCATGGGCAAACTTGACCGCATCTTCGGTCCGGCTGGCGTTGAAGGCAGGGTAAAAGTATGTCTGGCCTGAAGTGTAATGAGGAAGACAAGCTGCACACAAATAGCGTTAACCTCAGGGTTTCATTTCATATAAGAAACAATGGTTACCGAGTGTTGCAACATCCTGATATGTAGAGCTGAAGAGGAACATGGTGACTGATACCTGCGCTCTGGAGCATTCTATAGCGAAAGTCTTGTAGAACGGAGACGCCGCTTGTAGTAGTTGTGATTCCTTCGGCGAAACTGGTCAGGACGGTTATAGCAGTCATCCCATTTGCATTCACCTTTGACGTGCCCAAGGCTTTCGGGTCTTCGCGGTTCTTCAGTGCACCCGCGCCTACACTTGGGAGACTTGAAGACAGAACCACGATTTCCCCGCCGATAGGTGACTTGCGGCGGTATTGGTGAATCCACAATTCAACGAAAATGATATAGGCTCACCATCAGCTTGAAACCAGCTTGCAAAGCTGGTCCCAATGCACTTCCTATAATGTGGTTGTCCTGGAACATGTCGTTGATCCTGCCGAGTAATGCTTCTAAAGCGGGCCGGGATTCCGACAGGTTCACCAAGAGATCGGTGGGCTTAGGCAGGAAGACGTCGTCGACGTCGGAGACAACGAGCATTGAACAATCCGACGATCCAGGCTATAGAGAGGCTATAGTTGAATGCCATATCAGGACTAAAGGGCAACTTACAGTCATGGAGAAGAAATACAAAGACACATCAAAGGCGATAATAGCAACCTTTGTCCGCTGGTCCTCGTTCGGAATACGGTCGAGGTTCTCCAAGATCGTACGAGTAGCGGTAGCAACCATTCCTGAACCAGCCATTGAAGGTGAATCACTTATCAAGACTACTGCACGCACCTGACTGGACGGCGGCGTGACTGACATCGATCAAGAACATGTACACGGCAGGCTGAGGAGGCCGGACCATGTACTCCGTCGGCGCAACGAACTCGACCACGGAATGGTTGAGCTCCGCCCGCGCCCACCTATCCCCTGGCTGATTCCGTACTGCATCCCAGTCGAACAGCTGCGGCAGCTCATTCGACATCCCACACACGCAGCACCGCCAGCTACGTCGAATTAGATACGTGCCCAAACTTGATGAACGAGTACTCACCGGTTGCCGCCATCTATGAATGTTACATAGGGGTTGATGTACGCACGGCATCGTCGGCACCGCGCGATAACAGTATCTGTTACCACCGGGACTGGCTCGTCGCCATCCTTTACAGAGCGGTACGGTGTGAGAATGAGGGCAAGTGGTATTTTCGACTTGTTCAACAGGGAATGTGTGGTGGGGATAGCGTTGAGCGTGGACCGCTGATACGATGGATCGGCCTGAGCAAAAGGGGACTGCGTGATGCACGCACCGGGGGGCAGGCGGATCTCAGGTGGGGGCCGGTAGAGCTCGCGGGGGTCGGGCGGGGACGTGAGGAGATTGGTGGTGTACAGCTGAAACGGCTTCTGCCCGCCCTGGATGTTCATATGGCCGAACTGGTCCGCGAGTGCGTTGACGGGGGCCTGCGGCGGTTGCTGGCCGTACGCGGGGCCATTCGCGTAGTCCTGGGGCGGCGCGAAGTACGAGGGCTGCGCCTGCTGCTGCTGTGCCGCGAACTGATTATCCTGCGCCAGGCCAGGCGTAAAGAGTTGCTGTGGTGCCGCGGCTGCGGGCTGCAGAGGCTGGGGGGCGGCGGCTCCGCCGTAAGGGTCCGCCGCGGCCAGCGTGTCCCCGCCATAGTACGCCTGAGTCTGTCCTGCTGCGTATTGACGCCGTTTCCCGTGGTGAGCTACGCCGACAGGAGGGGGTGAAACAGACGCAGATCGCGGGTCCATGGGGGGGACTGGTGCCTGCAGCGGGTGCTCCCATTGCGCCTTCCCCGTCGCCGTCTCTGCAAACCGGTTCTATATTACATTCCTTTCACGCGAAGAAGGATGTACTCACCGATGAAAAGGTAACGCTGGTGCGTCGCGTCCCTTCGCGAGAATCAGATGACCCGTACACTTCTGCACAACTCACAACTGCTGCTGCTCACCATTCTGCTGCCCAGCCTGGTGGCAGCTGCTGCACCGGAGAAGCCATTGCGCTGGGAGTGTTTGTGAAGTCTGGATATTATGCCTTACGGCCACGACACCACACGCCAGGATCAGTATTTGCCAGTATTTAGGGCGAATTCCACGTCACGGTCGTGGTTGGCGGGCGAGGATATCATGGCACTTCCCGGGGTCAACGTCTTGTCCCCTTTCGGCCGTGGCCTGCTGCCACCCTCTTCAGCGTTGCAAGTAACGTCGACCTTTCAAGGACGAACATCGACGACGGTTAGAACGCCATACACGTCGGTGGACAGAGAATGTCCAGCCTGCAGGGCTATGTCGATCGTGAGTGGTGCCTTTGTCGCATCTTGCCTGGTTCTAAGACGTCTTGAAGGTCTTGTTCTCCTTGTTCTTCAGGATGGACGCGCTATAGTTGTGTGTCTACCAGTTGTACCTTAGGATAACGGTGATATTGACATATCACAGGGAACGATGGTTGGCTTTGACCAGAAGTCTAACGTTGTCCTATCCGACTCAAAAGAGCGCGTATACAGCGCTGACGAGGGCGTGGAGGAGATCCCTTTGGGCCTTTATTTAGTCAAGGGTGACCAGATGTGCGTCCTACCGATCCTTGTTCATAGATATGGCACTCGCTAATATGTCTTCAGCATTCTGATAGGCGAGCTTGACGAAGAAAAAGACCGTTCAGTCGACCTATCTACCATTCGCGCCGATCCGATCCCCCCCATCCACTATTAGGCCTGTGCAATGGTTTTCTTATTCCGCGAGGGGAACCCTATGAGACAGCCCTCCTCTGGAATTCGTGCATCGGCCGTCTCTAGTCTAGTCGGTCTTCGCCTCTCATCGTCCTGCCCGGTCCGTGCGGTCTTATGTTACACCATACCAGGATATGGGAGGCATGTCCGAATGAATGTATGTAAGCTTATAATACATGCAAGTGTTCATAACTTGTTGCTGATCTTCCTCTACTATTGAGATTATAAGACTCCGGCGCTCACTGTTGTTGCTGGGGTCATCGTCTTCCAAGTTGAACGGCTGCTTCCACTGGAGTAGATGAGGCATATGGCGCGGGGCCACGTCGTCCTTGATTATTATCTCAGAGGAACAGGAATGTAATACGACATGGTCAGAAATAGCTGATCCAATTCTCCGCATGCGTGAGTCGAGTACAGACATGACGTCTGACACTTCCCGTCCGTCCTCTCGCAAACATGCTTGGTACGAGATCGTCACCTGTCCCGATGTCGTGCTCTACAAGCCCTTCAGTTCGTTGGGGAAAGACGTAAGTGGACTGTAGACGGGTATCGTACGCCGGCCGCGAAAGTACTCTGGCAATCAAATAATATGATTGATATGGGGCTCCAAAATGGTTATAACAGAGTACACCCCCTTACCAACCACATCTTCTCTGCAAGTTCCATTAATTTTATCTTCTTGCAACTCCTGCAACCTCCTGTGTTATTTCTCCGTACGAAACATCCAGTCCTTACTCTTGCTTTGTACTTGAGACCAGCGCTAGCCAGATTAAATTCGTGTCACTCGTGCCGAAAACGTGAGCAAGCTGCCTATTCTGGGTGTCTACACGGCGCTTCGCTCATCCCCTTCATTCCTGATCTATACCCGCCAGAATCGCTCTAGCCGCCTATATATTCGCTGTAAGCGTTTTACCCCTCTTGCTTTCCGTCAAATCCGCTAACGGTCTTCCAGCCTTTAGAATTTGTGTCTTTTAACTTGAATTTCGCTTCACTTTCGGTTACGACTTCGCCATCACACACCTCATGTCGACAGAAAAGGATCTCGAACAGCTGCACCTGGACGACTCCGAGAGCGCCTCGAGCGGCTCTCGCAATAGTTCTCTCCACCTGGAAGCAAAGGAGCCGTACGACGCAAAGGATGAGCCCCTGCCATCGCCGGTCTCAGCGAGGCAACCTGCCCCTGCCAACAAGCCGAAGATGTCGGCGGCGATGATTATTCCTATATGGATTGTCCTCTCGTCGTCGGTCATCATCTACAACAACTACCTCTACAATACGCTGCAGTTCAGGTACCCAGTGTTCCTGGTAACGTGGCACTTGACCTTCGCCGTGAGTTCCGCCCTGGGTGTCTCAGATTATTGACGGGGGCTGAGGTGTTCGGCACAGGCGATAGGCACACGGATATTGCAGCGCACGACGCATCTTGTTGATGGAGCCAAAGATGTGAACATGACCAAGGAATTGTTCGTCCGGTCTATACTCCCGATCGGCATCCTCTTTAGCGCCAGTTTGATCCTGAGCAACACTGCCTATCTTTACCTGAGTGTCGCTTACATCCAAATGCTTAAGGCGAGTGGCTTCGTTAATGTCCACTGTTGGTTCCAATACTAAACTTGTTGGTAGGCCTTCGTGCCCGTAGCCATCCTCCTCATTTCATGGACATTCCGTATTCAAGAGCCGAATAGGAAGCTCGGCGTCATCGTATTCATGATCTCGTCAGGTGTCGCCCTGGCTTCGCACGGCGAGCTTCACTTTAACCTACTAGGTTTTATCGTCCAGGCACTGGCAGTCGTCGTAAGTCTCAACTTCTCGTGTTCGCCTGAGAAGCGTGCTGACGAGGTGCTCCTATAGTTCGAGGCTTCTCGCCTAGTGATGATCCAGATCCTCCTGCACGGTATGAAGATGGATCCCCTGGTGTCCCTGCACTACTACGCGCCTGTGTGCGCCATGATCAATCTTTTGGTGATACCATTCACCGAGGGATTGGCTCCTTTCTATGAGCTAGGTGGGTTATCTCATGTTAAGGCTATGGCTTTATTGACTGATGACGTCCACTTCTAGCGCGCGTCGGTCCTCTTATTCTTTTCTCCAATGCCGCGGTCGCGTTCCTGCTTAACATCGCCGCCGTCTTTCTCGTCGGAGCCGGCAGCGGATTGGTTCTGACGCTGGCTGGTGTGTTCAAGGTATGTCTCTTTTATCTCACGCATCGTCCAGGCAACTAAGGGTGGCCGTCTTCTCCAGGACATCCTCCTGATCAGCGGATCCGTCCTCATCTTCGGCTCCCAAATCACTCCCCTGCAAGTCCTCGGCTACACAATAGCCCTGGGTGGCCTCGTGCTCTTCAAGACATCAGGTGGCAAGTAACTCCGCCGGCTTGCCTTTTCTCCCTCTCTCTCTGGTTCTCGGTGTTTTGGACACTAGTAGCGTTCCCTACCTATACGTCTTGTTTATTACTATGACTGGGGTCTGGGAATGACGATGACGATGTCGAGATACTACCTCTATATTAGTCTTGGTTTTAGAGCTGCATATGTATACAAAGGATTATAGAGAATAGTGTCTTGTAGTCTACTGTCCAGTGCAATGTCGATGCGGTGGCGTACATATGGACCTACAGAATGTGCTATTGACGTCAGTGACCAGTCACGTTCTTCTTGCCACACTTTACCACAAGCTTAGCTTTCAAGCTGCGAGCACTTGCGAGCCTGCACGATGGCCACACCGATGCCACTGCCCAAGATAACACGGACGCCGTCCGCGCCGCTGCCAGGGCGCAGACACACGAGGCCGCACGCGCCCGCAAAGCCGACGCGGCGCCCGTCGCTGTCGACGCTGCCGACGACGGTCGCGCCCAAGGCGCAGCGCACGTCCAAGACGTCGCAGAAGCTCGTGGTGCTGCCGAGCGCGCCGCAGACGAAGCCGCTGCCCGGCGCGGACGTCGAAGATGACACGACGCTCGGGTACGAGACGGACACGGGCGTCGTCGTGCGCGACTACAAGAACGCGGGCGAGCGCATGAGCAAGGACCAGCGCAAGAAGGCGGGGTTCAAGCGGTTGACTGTATACTGCGTCGCGGACGGGTTCAAGATGAAGCTCCTAGCGAGCTTCTTGAAGAGGGAGCATAATGTCACGCCGAGGGTGTATGATGAGGCGATGTATGTGGTGAGTGGGTATCTAATATGAGCCATATGCGTTATGAGACGCTTAGTGCATGTTCTTGCAGATGTATCACCTCCCCCTACTGCCGGGCTACGGGCCCAACTCGAATTTGCGCTCTTCAGCACCGCCAAAGTCTCCCGGCACGCAGACTCTCCTCCACCGGATGTCCGAGGCAGAGGAGAACGGATACCAGGGAACCTACTTCACGTCCCAGTCCCCGGAAGTGAACCAGGACGGCTACATCCAGTCAGGCTCGCCCAAGCTGTCACGTAGCGTACCGTCCGAGACAGAACCCGAAACGGAGACAGAAACGGAACACGATGCGAATGGTAGGGGCACACCTCGAGCGCGGTCCCAAGCCGTCTCGGCTCCCGTTATTGAAGATAACGTCGCGGAGGTGATATTTTTCTCGTACGGCGTGGTGGCGTTCTTTGGAATGTCGGAGAGCCAGGAACGAGGCATCCTGGAAGACGTGGAGAACGCGGGGGTTATGCTTCGCAAGTTCCACGAGGAGGATTGGGAGGTGGAGGAGTTCCACTATGTTGTGAGTGCAGGTATTGCTCATTCTCCACCATGGACGGCTCACTCAAAAGGCAGCACGATCCCAATATCGTGTATCCGAGAATATACAACGACTTCTTTAGTAGGTTACATTTGGTTTCAATTGTGTACACGCTAACCGTCCACAAAAGCTTTCAAATCTCCCTCCCATCTCCTGAAGATATCCATCTCGCATGCGCTTGCCCAGTCCACCCTCCTCGCCCACTATGAGTCGGTCACCCACCGCGTCCTCTCCGCACCCACCACCCTCTCCATCCCGCGACAGCTCGCCTCCTCGGGCGTGCTCACCCTGCGAAGGACCGAAGCGCTCAAGCTGACAGGCCGGCTGTTCAAGCTGAAAAGGGACGTGAACTTGATAGGCAACATCCTAGACGTGCCCGAGCTGTTCTGGGACGAGGCAACCTTGGGCGAGCTGTACGAAAGCGTTAGAGAGTATATGGAGGTGGAGTCGCGCGTGGAGGTGCTGAACGAGAAACTCGGCGTTGCGAGTGACCTGGTACGTTGCGGCTGATGTAGGTGAGGCGTCAGGCATACTGACACTCGTTTCAGTTGGATGCTATACATAATCACCTCAATAATTCCGCTATGGAGCGTATAACGTGGATTATCATCTGGTTCGTCGCGTTTTGCGGCATGTACTGATATCTCCTAACTGCTACCTATTGTCAGGTTAATTGTAGTCGCTTGTCTGGTTGAATTGGTACGTATCCATACGGTTGGGTGTGTCCGTAGGTACTAATGTCTTCGTACAGGGAGAGGTCCTTGCTCGCCTCGTAGTGCATGCTACAACGAGTAAGAAACACGTACAGGCAGCAGCAGCAGCAGTCTTCTCGAGGGACGATGTTTTGCGGACTTTGGACAGGATGATGGCTTCGTCGCCGGGGAAAGTGTAAGATCATAATCGTCATGGAGGTATCCCTTAATATTATACCTATTCTCTACTGCTCCCATTGGTGATAACCATTTGCATGATACATGCTTAACCATGGATTTCCGATAGCGTGCGGCCCTTGGTCGTGAAGTCGATGCCACTTATCATTAGGCCTCTCTTGACGGTGAGGGTGCCCTTTGGTGCGTTCATCCTCAATACGATACAATAATTTTGCTTGTCTTTCCCTGCAACATCCGGAGAAGTTGTGTCCATCGGGCATCATTTATGATCAAGGGACATAGTGTCGGAATCTCAGTCCTTTCGCAGTGGCTCCCTGGCATCACGCGATAACGAGATGGCCGCGTGCTCTGTGGACATTCGCTGGTACACTGGATACATGTAAGCTGGAAGTTCATTCTGTATCGTGGACAAAGGGTACGTTCCTTTGTTCACTCCGGGCACTTCCGAAATCGTCGCCACCCGTGACACGGGAATCGCGCCGTGCCACACCATTGTTCGCGACCACATATATCACCTCTCGACACTACCGTCTTGCGACATTTGCTCGAGACCCATCCACGATGCCCGAAATTTCTATTGAGACGTTACGCGAGCGACTAAACGAACGTCTGCCCGAGAAGTGTAAAGAGCTCAAGCCTCATTTCGATGGTGTGCCCGTACTTTCCTTGAGGAAAGGCTCCATCTTACCGCTGACAGCCCCTCATCATATGGTAGGGGTAGACAAGCTCACATATACATGGATCTAATCGCCCTGCAGATTTATATAGCCACTTTGGAATCGGGGCGAAAAGTCGTGGTTCGAGTCATGAATCCGACAATTCGGAAATACGCAGGAGAGAAATGCCCCTTCAAGATGACCTCAGAGGTAAATACCACTTCGATGCCACTGGCGTGCCACTGACCGTGCCCAGATCGCGACGATGAAATACGTTAGGAAACATACCAAGGTCCCCGTCCCGGAGGTCCTGGCGTATGACCCAGACAAAGACGGCAAAGTAGGCGGCGAATGGATGGTGATGGAGCGGGTGCGTCTGTCTCATAGCCTTGACTAACAGTTGCGCTTATGCAAGGACAACTCAGGTCCACGGTGTCGCCGCTATCCTGATGTGGCCGGCACTGTCCAAGGAGCTGCGCCGGAAGCTCACACTGGCCATGGCGAATGTGTTCGCGCAGCTTCTGAAGCAGCGATTCTCGAAGATTGGGAGCCTCTATGAGGAAGGGGAAGACTCCTTCGTTGTTGGGCCAATGGCGCTGATCCCGTCCCATGACAAGATCGACAGGAGCGTTCCGGATGACGAGAAATGTGGTCCATTCGGGTCACAGAAAGATTGGCTGCTTGCTGTGGCTAAGGGAGACCTCGACGTTGGTCGTGACCGTCCACTGCAAGGGGAAGACCTGGAACGGATGAAAGAGGTGATCAAGGAGATCGAGGAAGCGGACCTTTTGGATGATGCCGCAGATCATTCAAAGATTGCATTGGAGCATGTCGACCTCAACCTGACCAATGTCTTCGTAAACCCCGACTTCCCTACTGAGATTACAGGCGTCATCGATTGGGAAGGGGCGCGCACAGCTCCCATGTGGGCCATACAACCTCGGTTCTTCGAGCGTACCTGGAAAATGTACGAGGTCGAGAAGCAGGAGCTACACGCGTTCGGATACGAGCTCATCAGGCTCCGCGTTTCCGCTTGGAATGCGGGCGGACGGGAGCCCGGATGGGAGTTGCGCAACTTGCTTCGGGAAGCGCAGGAGAGGCGCGTAAATCCCAGCAAGGTTGAAGACGCTGTAGCTTCCCTTGCCCGGTTGTCTCTACAAGTCGATGAAGAGCGCCTTCGTCGTGAGGCGTTCAGGCGTTCGGAGACGCCTGAACCGGAAGATCGCCGTTACTAGACCATAATGGCTTCCGTTGTATTCTCTGTTCCGTCCAGTATTGTACATCTTGCTGGTTAGAGGATATATCTAGGCGAAAGTACAGATAGCGTGATATCAATAACCTTTTGAGCTCCGGTCATGGCTATGCTTTGCAAGCTGATACAAGTCACGGAGCTCCCTGGCTTCCTCGCTGTTCATGAGGGCCCAGGCAGGAATCTTCTCCATGATTTGCCTGAGCATGAGATGAGAGTACCTGGTCGTCGTCGGGGTGTCACATCCTGGCAGCTCGAGAGGGGGCAACACCACAGAGAACAAGGGCACAACATAGGCGTGCTGCCAGCCTACAACGGCCAGGATCTCAGTGGGATCGGCGGTGTCGACCAGAAGGTGATGTGCGTCCAGCTTGGTGTGGTTTATGACGCAGGATTTCAGGTTGGATAACACAATCCCGCCACGATCCAGTATAGGAGAGCCTTTCGACAGCCTTTCCGCAACGACGCCCATATGTTGCTCTTGCTCCGGCGTCATTCCAGCCTCCGATTCCGGGAGAAGCTCTCGCAGCGCCAAAGCGACTAGCCACTCTCTAACTGTACGGAAAGGGCCGCGTTCCCCTTTGCTGGTTCCGACACGTACGGGGCCGACGCGGACGTCCCCGCTAGGGCTTGTCGAGAGTCTGCCTATGGTCTTGTACCGCACAGTCAGCAGTTGGGCCCAGATATTCCCAATAGACACGATGGTCGCTTCACGCTGTGCTGGGCTCATGCGCGGCCACATCTGATGTAAGGGAATGGCCGTCGGAAGCTGGAAAAAATATATCAGCGATGATTAGATATCAGAAATTTTGCCTTACATGCTCCTGGATTGAAATAGGCGTGCTTAAGACACCTTGAAGATCCGGATTGTAGCCGACGGGCGAGCGCACTGGAATGGTTGTGTATCTTCGTACAATTGAGATGGTCGCTTGCTTGGGTTATAGATAGTACCGGCGTCACCTGTGATGGAGGTAGGGAAGACGTACCTCACAACCGATGTCGTATTCACTGCTGCCGGAGACGCCGCTATCATTACCCCGTAACTTTACAAGATATTCACGTCTATCGATAAACGTGACAAGGAAATCCTGCGTGCCTGATTAGCATGTGGCATGCTTTCCATATGTCTAGTATAACGGACATTTGAATCTCCTATAAAACTGTCAGGTTGTTCCTGCTTCAAAACAACGGAACTATCACCTGCGGGAAAGGGGGCGAAACTTATGGGTGGAACCTTGAAGGTCTCGTGCAATGCTGAAAGCAATTTGGGTACTTTGAAGTTCCAGTCGAGTAACTGAGGCTGTGGTTCTTCCCGGCCGGGGGCCCAAGTCCAAAACTTGGTATCGTCCTTGCGATGATCACTGAAGACACAGACAAAAGGAAGAGGATCGACCATGGTAGAGCAGCAGAGATAGTAAAGGTGATTGAGAGGGTTAGAAAAGCGAAGGTGGCTGTGGATACTGTCTTCGTTTAAGAGGCAGCGAGATGTGGCACTGACACGGGAACCTTCGCGTGTGGCTGAGGCTACGCTGTGGTCAATGGACTCAATCACGTGTTGTTGCGAGTCTCACCTTACGATTCGCAATGCAACCTCTACTCTTATGGTCAGCGCGGAGGATGCTGTTAAACTGTGGACTGTGCAACGTACCGTCAAGCTCAGGGTCGTGCTTCATGATTGCGACCCGATAACTTCTCTGCAACACTTTACAATTTTACTTCCTCACCGATATATAGGCTCTCCAGTCGAGGTTATTCGCTTGTCCTCAAAGGTCCTTGAAAGACCAGTCAGCTCCACAAAAGTCAATCGTATCAACCTCACTGCTACCCTTTCCAGTAGGAGAATTAGAGGGTCGGCAGGCATCCGTGTCAGAACGACGTGCCTGCGTGTTACAAGACGAGATAAAAGTCGTCCCATAACTCACAGGCGCGTCGATCAGACCAGTATGTCGAAAGGACCTGAATCGTCCATTATCATAGCGCCTTACGTCTCTCTTGGATTCCAAAAGCTCAGTGCAAACTGGCATAACTCTGAAGCTTGAAGGGTTGAAACCAGCCTCAACGACTCCCAAGCTTCTCGATTGGTTCGTAGAAGCGGGGAGGCAGGACATCGTCGGAGAGGGAGAATATGTAGAGGGCCGCCCTCAAATCACATCGCAGACTTCAAAGACGCCAAAGTCGTCACGATGAAGAAATTTGCAGATATTGAGAAGCGCCGTGCAGGCACATAGCTTACCTTACATAGCTTTGTTTCCAGCTTCACGGTATCAGTTACCAGTACGCTCCCGGGCCAGTGTGCACTGTGCATCGTGGAGTCAAGGGCGTTATATGCCGATCGCTCTCCCACTGCCTTATAAGGGAGGCAATTACGGTCTGCCTACTAGGGTTAACGTTGGCCAATGGCCAAGGGAGAACTCATGAGCATCATATCCAGCTTTTAATAACTAACTTTGCCTATAAACACACATTTATCGGGCCGATGGTGTAGTTGGTTATCACGCCTGTCTAACACTGTAAAAGTGCACAGGCGGTCCTCAGTTCGAACCTGGGTCGGCTCATTCTTTTGACTGAAAACGTCCACGGGGACTTTTTCACCTCTTCAGATTTTTCGCCTCTTCAGGCATCCCATCCCTTCAGTAGGGAATAACGTGGTCACGTAATATCTTAAGGAGACTGTCCCACAGACACAAGCAACAGTACAATTGTGGAAGCGGGACTAAGTAGCAGATCGCGAGGTAGGCTTGCAACCCTAGCAAGTGAATGCAAATGATACCAGGTTTGTCGCTCAAGTACTGCATTAATATTGAGCAAGTGCCGTAAGATCAGGATAAGATACAGGGGCAAGCAGAATTGTGTAAAGTCGGCCATGAAGGACTTAGAAGGGGAGCTTCTGGTTGTTTGCCCGAGGGACAGCGAGGGGGCTCGGCCTTCTCTTGCGGTAGAACTAGAAAATGAACATAATGTAAGTCTCGTTATTACAACTTGAAGGACTGGCGCTTGCAGAAGAAGCTGGGAGGGACTGCTACGCACCGATTTGTACTTCTGTACCCGCTTCGCCATGTCCCTCATCAAAATACGGTGCTTGCGACGCCTGTCGGCCAAGACCCTCTCCCACTTGTGTCCCTTGAACATCCGCTTCCTCCCGATGTACATTGCCACTAAGCCACACTTCTTCGCCTCCTGGACCATTTCTCTCCTCTTGACCCGCAGGGCCGCACGCTCCTGGCGCAGGCGCGCCTTGGCTTGCTGCTGCGCTTCATCGACAGAAGAGACGGACAACGTCGAGATGGGTTGCGTCGGCGTGTCGACCTTGGGTGCAGGTTTGGTCCTTTCAGGCTCGGCAGACCATTCGACGGGTCTCAACCACCAGTCTTGGAGCTTGCCCGGCCTGGCAGAGACGGTCTGCGCAAGTCTGGCGGCTTCAATCTCCTGGACAGAGAGCTTGGGGCCAGGCGGAAGCAACCCGACCATCCCAGACATCTTGGCTTTCTTCACCAATTCTTTTTGCCGCCGTAATGAGTACCGAGGTTTGACCCAATGCCCATTGTACGCAATTTGACTGGGAAGGAATGGATTGGCCGCCTTGACTATCGGTCGTTCAGCATTCGTGTGTTTCGTCTGCACGGCTGCACGTAGCTGTTGGCGAGGTAGATTTTCTACGCGAAACCGTTTGACAGCTTTCGCGGCAGCAGTTGCAGTAGCCGCCATGGGTAGACTTAAGCACCGGCCTCGGGCGGTTCAGACAGCCTGGACAGTACAGACACCGTCTGAACTCTGAAGAGCAAGCCGATGATTGTTGTGTAAAGGTGGAAGGTGGTTCTTCGCGATCGCCAAATGCTAACGTGGGCGTAAGGTTAGGGTACGGACCCGATCATCCCATTGACAGAATGGCATTTCGTCCCCGGCCTTCGGTGTAACATGGAGTGGTATCAGTTCGGTGAACTACTGTACCTCATGCATCCCACATCAGTAGGTCAATATGATTGGGAGGCTTTGGCTGCTGTTACAGTGAACATCCTAGATTTCTTTCTGTAAAGCCAACGTCCATACCGCTCCAGCAATCGCGCATCAAGATTTCCTCTGTATTGCATCAGGAAACACGCGGGTTCCTATAAAGCGATCTATAGGCTGGATAGGTAACATAGGCTCATAGGAACGTCCGTTCCGGTATAGCCGCACATAGTACCACAGTTGCAATAGACACTATGCATAGCCGCAATAGCCACCATAGCAGAGGCTGTATAGGCATGCATATCACTCGATAGACACCGTAGGGCAGGTATAAGCAATGAAAGAATTTGATATTTGAGGAGATACATCCATGACTATACTATATCCCTCGTGTTAGCCCTGGAACTAGTTTTCTACACCTGCGACTGCTGCCGCCCATTCCCTGCGCATGTTCTCTAACTCAGTCTCATCAAAGCCCGATGATGCTTTGCAGTCTTCACCCGGTACCTTCGCAAAATCACTATGTTCCGTGGTTGGTTACTGTCTCAGGATAAAATATTGATGTAAACCCACCGAGCACCATCCAGAAGCTGGGACTGAATGCGTTCAACAATCTCCATATCAGCCATCTTCTCCTTAAGGGTGTCGAGCTTCGATAGGTGGTGTTCAAAGACAGGTCCATACGTCTTCTCGCTGAACTCGACGCCACTCCTCTGACCTGTGGCCCATTCATCCAGGGCACACTGGACCTGAAGCCAAACAGTATTAGAAGCAGTGAGACCACGCGAAAGACACACTCACGGCAGTTAAAACAAGAGCAATGGTAACCAAGGGTATACCAAACCCTGACTTGCGGCGGCCCCCGACGTTGAAAGCAACCTTCTCGCTGAAGTACTCAG